CAATCAATCGTTGCAGAGGTATCATAGGTTAAGCCTTCTAATAATGCATTCATGCTTGCGATCCAATAAATGAACGATGGTGTCATCTGCACAGTGGCATATTATATTGTCTCTCACAAAGATAAACGTTTACTTGTTTATCTAGACATTGAGCAAAAGTGGCCCTTGTAGAGATCCTTGAGGTACACCCAAAGGTGGTGTCTTTCCTTGTGGGACACCCAAAGGAGCTTTAGTACCCATCTACTTTTGCTCGCTGTTTATTCTCATGATAGCGACTATGAGTAATATTCAGACCTTTCTTGTGAAACCATATGCACCAAGTTTGGCAATTAGCAGATCACGATTTATACAGGTACTGTTTCCGTTGTCAATTGCTATCGTCCAGTTTTCAATTATTCGCAAGAGAGCATGCTTGGTGCTGCAGTTCTCTATAAAGCTGCCTGATACGAGATGTAGAAAGCAGTAAGCGAATGGCTTCATTTCAGCTTCTGCTATCCTCTCACTCATATAATTTATCTAATAAGTCATCCTATCCCCTCATATCAAGTTTATATTTTTATCTAATAAGTCATCCTTTTAATTTTGTACATTTCCTATATAATTTTATTCATTCATTGTAATAAATTTAAGATTTGTAAATGTAGTATAAATAGTAAGCTTTAATTAGCTGTTACATTAGCTAAAAAATTTTGCTTATAATAATAATAATAATAATAATAATAATAATAATAATAATAATAATAATAATAATAATAATACTTTTGAAATGAATGGTGGTAGTGTGATTGGCCTATTGGCCTATATCAGAGAGGGTGTGTCACTCTTCGTGAAAATTGAAGCAATGTCAAGAAGTACTGCCAACCATGAGTACAAAATGGACATGTAAGTTAGGGTCAAACTAAATATGTTGCAAATAAGCTTTTTTGTTTTGTAAAAAGTGAGAGTGGCTCATTCTGGATCGGGTTTTCGACATGCATTATAGAAGAATGACAAAAAGCCTGATTACCTCAAAGTATGCAACATATAATGCAATAATTTCCTGACAAGGAGAATAGAGAGCCTTCTACAAGTAGATAGGGTCTGAAATTGTTTTATACAGCCTACACTCGTCACAAATTTCTGAACATTTTCAGCGCCCAAACTACCAACTGCCCCTCTTTTAAATTTGCGCTGGATCCGTGCCCGAGCGAATGAAAGATTGAATGATTTTACGCAAGTGGACCGTTTGAACAATATTATTTGTGGAAAGGTTTAAGTTTTATACATATCAATAACAAATGAAATTATTGCTGCAGGTCCACGGTGGTCTAGGTAACCTTTACCCGCCTTCACTCATTTCTGTTGGCCAAGCATCAATGAATGATAAGTACCATTATGAAAGCTAAGGCCTACTGAGCAACCCAAGAACTAATCAATAAAAAAGAAAGGATGAAGAAATTCTAAATCGGCTTGCGAACGAAGATTAGCAGGGGATGTGCTCAAAAACCACCTGGAGTTAATAAAGCATACCTAGCTTAGGAGCCTGGGTGTTGGAGACGATCCTCCGGATTAACTCGGGATAAACAGGGTCTAGCCAGCAGTACTCTGAAAATGCTGGCACTTACAAACGGGGTTTTACTCTATACTTCAAATTTAAAATGAACGTTTATTTCAGTTCGATCTGCACTGCGACACTGAAGTATACAGTTACTTGGCCACATCTTCAGTTTTTATCAGCTGGGCGTTTGGAGGAGTCATTCTTGGTTGGGCGTCAGATAGGTAAGTAATTTGAAAACTGAATCATTTGGTCCACAATGAATCTGATGATCTATTGATCGTAATAAAATGTATGGAAACATCAGCGGTTTTACGATGTCTGCTTTGTTTTTCTAACGACCCTTTTTCTCGTGCTTGATAAGCGTAGAAAATTTTTGAAGAGAAGGAAATCCTGTGGCAATATAAGGTGTGCCAAATTATTCTCTTAAGCGTGTCCCCAAAAGAAGGAGTGGCCCAGCCATTCAGTCCTATTGTTTTATTCTGTGTTTCCAATACTGCACCAGCCCTTTTCATTATCGCTGTCAATGTTGAACATTTTGCTTAAAACTTGGATCTTGTTTTTAGGTATGGTAGAAGAATCAATATGCTGATATCGACAACTTTTATCCTTTTGTTTGGGTTCATCAGCTCGTTCTCTCCAAATATTTGGTTCTACATTTTTGCACGAGCAGTGTTTGGGTTTTTCACACCTGGAACTTATGTACAGTCAATCGTTCTAATTTCAGAATTTGTAGGCCCAAAATGGCGTCCATTTGCGGGTATAGCAATTTCGCTATTATATGCAGTAGGCGTTGTCATCCTTGGTGTTATAGCCATCTTCGTTCAGACGTGGAAAACACTGATGATAGTCATCACAGCTCCATATTTTTTCATCTTGCTGTTTTTCTTGTAAGTTTAATCCATAAAATTTTCTTATTCATTGTCAGGGATCCTTCTTTTTCTTGGCCTTAAGCTTAGGCCCTAAGCAAAGATAGCACGTGCATTGTCGATCTCTTTCAGAGCACTGAGTGTGATGTTTGAAGTTTCAACCGACCATTTTTTGTATTGGTTTTCTATTTTGATTTTAGGGTGTACGCAGTTCATATATATTAAACCTGGAATAGGACTGGGCCACTTTTCAGTTTTAGAACAAAAGCTTAGTTCAGTACGTAGATTAGAGACAGAACAATTGAAATCAAATATGCCATATAGCAAAGGAATATATTTATATATATATCTTCTTGATAATTCGGGTATTAAAACCAAAGACTAGGGAAGGAAGGAAAGGGTTCCATTTCTACTAAGATACCATTCAGCACTCAAGGCACAACAATCGTGCAGAATATGATACCAGCATGAAACTTCACAACTTATTTACTTTAAAATAAAATGCAAAACAGACTCAAGCCGAAAAATTCCGCTAAAAGCTATTTCTAGAACATTCAATTTGGTCCCAGTCCTCAAAATGACTTTAAAGTCACTTGCGAGCGATTTATTTCAACTCAACTCAGCGGAAACGTAGAAACTGAGCAGCCTAGTTGAAAACAGTAAAGTCTGCACGCAGGCTACATGAATCAACAAAGCCATACCAAGACTGTTTAATCGAAAAGCAATTGATTTGACTCTTTCAGTTTTAAATAATATCTTCTGATTACTATACAAAGAAACTGGCTGAAGATAAGAACGGAGAGTTGTGGAACAATATTTTTTGAAGGTTTCTTGAAAAACCTTTGTTGACTGCGTTATTTTTTGCCTCAGCTGTTTTTGCATGGCCAGTCAATATTGGATAGACTATCAGACTGTTAATTCTCATAGACTATCCTTAATTTCTTGCAAGGGCCATTCCCGAATCAGCTAGATGGCTTCACGTAAATGGAAGAAATGACAAGGCTCTTGCAATCTTTCGAAAGATCGCTAAGTGTAATGGAAAGGAGCTACCAGAAATTCAACTGAAAAAGATCGAAAAGGACTGTTCCACCGGAATAAAACATTATCTTTACCTATTCAAGCCTGCAAAAATCGCAAGGAGGAGCTTGATCCAAGGATATACATGGTGAGTAAATACTTGTTTGTGATTGTGCAAGATAGAGTGGAGTCGTTGGTAGATACAATAGCTGTTGACAGACGGTGATTGATGATGGGGTTTGTCACTAATTTCCAGACAGAGACAGACACAGTTTAGCCAACTTTACAAAACGTGAAGAAAGATTTCAGTGCGTGTCAATTCTTCTGAAAGTTGGAAAAATTTGTTAGCTAGCCAATTAGCTAAGGGTTCTTTTGTGATTGTGTACGTGAAGAAGAAGTTAGGGACGGAAGCATAGAGAGACAAAAGAGAAAAGCAGGACAGTAGAAAACAAAAACTTATGGATTTATTGGCAGGAGTACCGAATACACTAGAATTTTTTTTCGGCGTTGTCAGGTTTACTGCGTTGTCAGGTTTACTGCGTTGTCAGTTTACTGCGTTGTCAGTTTACTGCGTTGTCAGTTTACTGCGTTGCCAGGTTTACTGGTGTGTCAGGTTTACTGCGTTGTCAGGTTTACTGCGTTGTCAGGTTTACTGCGTTGTCAGGTTTACTGCGTTGTCAGTTTACTGCGTTGTCAGTTTACTGCGTTGTCAGTTTACTGCGTTGTCAGTTTACTGCGTTGTCAGGTTTACTGCGTTGTCAGTTTACTGCGTTGTCAGTTTACTGCGTTGTCAGGTTTACTGCGTTGTCAGTTTACTGCGTTGTCAGTTTACTGCGTTGTCAGTTTACTGCGTTGTCAGGTTTACTGCGTTCTCAGTTTTACTGCGTTGTCACTGCTTTGTCAGTTTACTGCGTTGTCAGGTTTACTGCGTTGTCAGGTTTACTGCTTTGTAAGGTTTACTGCGTTGTCAGGTTTACTGCGTTGTCAGGTTTACTGCGTTGTCAGTTTACTGCGTTGTCAGGTTTACTGCGTTGTCAGGTTTACTGCGTTGTCAGGTTTACTGCGTTGTCAGGTTTACTGCGTTGTCAGGTTTACTGCGTTGTCAATTTACTGCGTTGCCAGGTTTACTGCGAGAACAGGAGCTAACCAAAAACCTTCTACGTCAGGCTTTCTAAGTAGTTCACCACTGTAGTTATGCTGCAAATTTTAACTACGCATAGTTTACTGTTTTTCAGGATGGTGGATTCCTTGGTGTTCTTTGGAGTTTCATTTGGCGCCGGTGACTTAAGCGGCCACATACACAGGGACTACATCATTACCAGCTTATTCGACATACCGGCTGCTGTTCTTGCAATATACCTCTGCAACAAGTGAGTTACTTCGTTCTATGCCTTGTTTTTTAGGGGGGGCGTAGTATTGAAACCTTGAAATTATATCGCTCATCCCATCCCTAAAGAGCAAATTGTATGACTAAAGGAAATCAATTTAAAAGTTTTTTGACCATACAATCTGTAAACAGCAGTAGGTCTAACGATGATCCCTGAGTAACTCACTAAACGTGAACGTACCTTATCTTCCAGAATTGGAAGAAAGAAGACAGTGGTTATTCCGATGTTTATTGCCGGGATATCCTGCATCGCTGTATCCTTGATTCCAAAAAAATCAGGGAGCAAACCATCGGGTAAGTTTTTCACAAAGATTTTCAAGCTGCAGCCATTCTCATACTTAGTTTGCCTCTATAAATATATAAAATGAAAGTGTACAATTCCAGATAGGGTAAACAAGACCTGAGGCACTCATTTGAATCATAACATGTTCAATTTGAAAGAAGCTCGTACATTAATTCCAAAAGTGATATCACTTTCTCAATGATCTTTCTTTATGTTGTCAAGGTACTATTTTGCAAAAATTGTCTGTCTTCGTTCAAATTTTCTTGTTATGTCCTTGTTCAAATTCTATGAAATTATCTAGGAAAAGACGTGATATTAAAAATGAGACGGGCATTTTCAAGAATCAAAACGTCAGTTTAAGCCCCCGTTTTCAATGTCCTGTTCGAAAACGGAACCGCCATGGTACAAAATCCGTTTGCTTTCGTACCAGTGTCAAAACTGGTCAGGGTAGCACAGCAAAGTTGTCTTGATTGAACTTTGCTGGTGTAAACGAAAAGGTGTGCAGAGAAAGTTTTTTACGTTAAAGCTTGCACGGGACAATGCAAACGGCGATTAAGTCGCTTCTTTGAGCAAAACATTCTAACATAGCAAAGAAGCATCTTAGGTACTTTGTAGCAGTGTCCTCTTTATGTCTAATGGGTTTAAATGTATGCTCGCACCTCAAAGAGTGCTTCATCTTCCATGACCTAGAATTAAAAGAGTTCTGCACCATTCAGGCCTTCTAATACGTCCGGTCTTATATTAACTTCCAATACTGCACCATTACAGTCATCGTCAACATCACTATTTGAAAACATCACCTCACTTGCTAAAGTCAACACCTGTTTCGGGAAAAATAAACCATTTTCATGCAAAACTAAATGATTCTGATACGATTGATTCGTACATGGATTGACATAACTTTTTTCATCCAGAACTTGTTAGTCTTCGAGTTTTCTTTGGAGTGCTTGGAAGGTTTTGCATCGCGTTGTCGCATGATTCCATTTTCATATGGTCGACCGAAATGTACCCGACTTGCGTAAGGTAAGATTAATTAAAAAATCAATCCTGTTATGCAAAAATTTCAGCAAAAATATTTGAGAAACTACCAGCGAAATAGCGAAAACTCATTAAAATTCACTGAGTTTTCCGATTACCTAACCAATTGGAAAAAGTGAAATAGAAGATTAGAGACGAATATCAATATATAAAAAATACCAGTTATCTTCTGAACAAGTCGAAGTGTATAAGTATAGGTGCCTTATTATTCTAATAAATTATTTCAGATTCGACTTGGACTTTGATCAAATACATATATATTAATATATAAATATATATATTATTATTTGTTATATATACAAATATCTTTATATATAAATATATTAAATATCTATTTATATTACATATAATATATATATATATCATCTCCGGCTGGGCCTAAAAAAACCTTACTTGTGTCGTTAAATTAGTTATTATTATCGTTGCTTGTAAAGTGTGCTATTTTTGTTCTTTTGTTTAGTTAGTATTAGTATTTGTTTAGTGTTTAGTTGTTTAGTTTAGTATGTTTAGTATCTTGCGCTCCGAAAGTAAATGAAGGTTATTGTGAAGGAGCATATCCCGAAACGTTAAGCAAGTTGTTTTTTACTGATCATCTATTTAAAGTTTTTAAAATCATTATAGTCTAGAGACTTGAATACATACACAATATATACAATTTGGCAGCACCCTTGTGGAAATAATTTCCCTCTGTCAACCTTGGCCTACTGAATAAATAAAGCAACAAATTCAAATACCTTCAATATATGAATTCCTTGACAGGGGTGCAGCCATGGGCTACTTGCAAATTTTTGCCCATATTGGTTCTTCACTAGCACCTTGGGTGGCAAAATGGCTCGTCGCCTTCCACGTGGTTCTACCGTTTTCAATAATGGGCGGTTTAGCTGTCATAAGTGCGATTCTGTTGTTGAAGTTGCCTGAGACAGCTAATAAGGAAACATTGGAAACACTTGCTGATCAATTTGAAGCGAAGGGTAGTCACGTAAAGGAGGTAGATCTAAAAGAAGAGAAGGAAAACGTTAATGAGATAAAAGACCTAACTGCATGATATTTTCCACCCTCCTTCAGCAAGGAGGAGCAAAGTGCTGAAATTTTATTATCAAACCAATCCTATTATACACTCTTTTTACTTTACAAAAAACCTTGCTTGAGGCATAGTTCTCGAAGCTCCTTATCTTTGGACTTTTTTGGACCTGATTGTTTGCAAGAATAAGAAATTCCAAAGATGAGAAGCTCCTTAGGTTGTTTGTTCTTAAAACAAAAGGTTTTTTAATTTTTTCTGCCTACTACATGCAGGTTTTTCATAAAGATGTTCCTTATAAAAAGAGTGCAAGTTGCACGAAAGTTTGGTACATTAATTAACTTTAAATGAAGCATTACGATGGCACAATGCCTATCTCCAAGTCAAATGCAAACTTGGTAAAACTTCTAAACCCCCCCCTCTCCCCCAATCCTTCAGGAAAAAAGGAAGCATTGCAGTGACCATTGTCGAATGTAATCATGTTCTCCATTTTATCATAGCCATTAACACCTTCCATCGTCTCCGTACCCACAGCAAGGTAATCTACAACACTTCTGTAACATCTCCTTGTTCTATGTGTATACGCCCTGTATTTTAGTTAGTTACTTTTCATTTCGCTGGAGAAAAGAAGCACAAAAACACAGCAGATTTGTTTTTATTGTATCGATGGCCTAAGGCAGCATAAACCAAAAATCAAGATCATAAAAATAAAGATAAAAATTGGTGAGATCGTTCGTTTACAACTCTTTTATTAATAGTTCTGTATATCATGTACAACCACAATAAGAGCTATTAAAGCATTACTGAATTTTCCCTGGGTACCAGAGCTATTAAAGCATTACTGAATTCACCCTGGGTACCAGAGCCACAAACTTTCGAGCGCGGAAACAGAGTGCCAAGCAGAGAAGCGGAGGAGCGTTTGTATGGTGAGTTCCACCAAATGGGTTGATCAATAACTTTCAAAGATAAAATTCTGAATGAAATTAATTGGTGAGACAAAATTGAAAGGAGCATACTATGCTTTAATGAGCGTTGTTGAAATACCTTACCTCCAGACTTTTAGCCGGGCATTCTTGTTTTGCTTAGTTCTTCAATGATGCTCAGACTTTTCAGAAAATTGATTTGGTCAAAATTGATTCAGAAAATAGAATGAAATGTGCATTTTATGGTCAAGCATTAATTTGGTACAGAATTTGACAGGGTGAATATTATGAGATGCAGAACAACTTCAAAAACGCCCCCAAAAGCTATTTTAGACAATGCATATAAGTCCCACACAATGCATCCTGCTCCACGCACAATGCATCCTGCTCCACGCACAATGCATCCTGCTCAACACACAATGCATCCTGCTCCACCCACAATGCATCCTGCTCCACGCACGATGCATCATGCTCCACGCACAATGCAAGAACACGTTTTTCGACAGGTACCACAAAAAGCGTCCCTCGATTCAGAATATGCTAATAACCATCCATCTAGACAAGGTTTCTTCAGTTTTTGCACTGGCTTAAACATTCGAAGCCTTTATCATACTTTTCTGCAGAAAATTTAAAACCTACACTTTTCTAATCGTAAGAACTACCACTTTTCATAGAGTACCGAAGTGATGATGTCATAAAAATATATTTTTAGCATTTCTGAATTTTGATCTCAGAACCTGAAAGAGCATCAGGAAATACCTCTAAATATGCAAAATCAGTTAAAGGCATTACGAATTGGTTGAAATATGGCCACTTGAGCACAGGCTCTTGCGCTATCAAACCTCTGTAATTTGATCTTTTTTCATAACTTTATGAACCAGGCCAGAATAACAGTAACCCGTTAGCAAACTTGAAATCTTTCATCGGTCATATCTCGCCCACTTTGGAACATATCTAACTAATTTTGCATATTGAGAGGTATTTTATGCCGTTCTTTCAGATTATGTGGCCAAATTTAAGAAATTCTAAAAATTGGTTTTTTGATGACGTCACACTTCGGTACTCTATTGCTCTTAGCAACAAGAAAATTACATCATTGAAAGTTTACAAAATTGAAACGCATTTTTGTTCAGTTGGAAATATTTCGCCATACCGACAGTTTCTCAAGATCGCATAAAACTTGTCTCGGCAAGGTAAAAAAAGACGAATTATAAAATGCACCATTCCACTGCTATGCGACTGCACAGTGGAATTACAGAAGATGCGGGTTAGTTGTATTTGTTGTTTGTTTATCGAGCAATTTCCCAATCGCTTTTTTCAACGTTGCTTCAATCCTTTGCCTGGAATCATTGTGAGCTGGCCACTCTCCTCAAACATTTTCAGGTTATAAGCTTTGGAAATCAGACAAAAATCTCTTTATTTTAAACTGGTTTAAGTACAATAAAGTGTTTTGTACAAAGCAAAGTTATATAGAGAACGTCATTGTGGTTTTGTCCTACACCACGAAGAACCGCATATCAAAACACAATGGCTACAACACCGGTCGATACTCTTACACAACCGTTGACCATGGATGAGATTCTGCCATACATCGGGGAATTTGGAAAGTTTCAGATTCTTCTAGAAGTTGCATTTTGTCTTATGGCAATTCCAGGTTCGATGCTCATACTCGTCCCGTACTTTGCGCAAGACAGTCCTCCATGGACATGCGTTTCAAATAGTACAGTTTGCCGTCTTAATGGAACGTTTGATTCTTATAGCCGATTCTATCAATACCGATGCAATATGCCGAGGTCAGAATGGGAATTCACAAAGCCAAAAGAATACTCAATAGTCACACAGGTAAATCTTAACCAGTCCACTCTAGCTTACCCTTAATTCAGAGCAACTGTGTTAGTTGTTCCAAATGTAGAACAGAATAATATCATGTTCCCATTTCTTGTGTTGGTGAAAGGGGGTTAATGTCCGAATTCTTGATTTGAACCCCATCAAAATCACCAACACAGCACTGAACATTGTGTATCAGTTTATGCGACTGAACAGTTTCATTCGTTCTAGAAGCAATTTCAATTTCTTTTGGTGATCCAAAGGTTCCATGGACCATGCGATCAGGCGAGATGGCATTAACTAAGTTATGATTATCATTCTATTATTGATTTATTTACAGTGGGCTGGTACATTTACATGAAAACAATACATACACAAGATTAGATTGATGCTTAAAATTGGATGAATAAGTTTTTGGTATTGCAAAAATAATCTGATGAACCTTTGCGATGAGCTTTTGTGTTTTGAAAAAAGCAAAACTTTTAAACACGCTCAAATCTTTTTCATATGAAACTTCTGAGAGCATGTAACGTCAGAATAAGGGGTCCAAAAAAACAGGATGGAAAATTCGATCCAGAAATTGGCAGTTATTCTTCATCTTGTTCTTTCTGATCCTTATTCTGACCCTTCATACTCCAGCGTTTCTGTTAGAGCAGTGTGAGCACTTACCGTATTTAAATTGTACTCATTTGATAGGTGTAAACGGACAGCGTTTCCATCAACGAAAACTGAGCCAAATGAATACGGAGCAGTGTGGACGTAGCCTAAGTTGCTTGTCAAGCATTATTTCGACATGCAAACGTATAAACGATTACTTACATTTTTTTTAAATTATCTTTGTCAGGCGCCTGTTGGCTTCTGCGAAAATTAGGATTAACGATAATTGAACAATCTTTTTGGTAAAAAGGTTGAAATTTTATCAAGATATAATAAGGAGCTACGTTATTTATCATGGTTTTATACATATGAATCACAAATAACATTATTTCGCAGGCCCATATAACCTAAACCACCTTTACCCACCCTCACTCATTTCTGTTGGCCAAGCGTCAATCAAAGATAAGTACCATTAGGAAAGCTAAGGCCTACTGAGAAACGGAAGAAAGTAGAAACTCAAGAACCAATAAACAAAAAGGAAGGTGGGAAAAACTCGAACTCGGCTTGTGAACGAAGATTAGCAAGGAATGTGCTCCGAAACCATCTGGGGTAAATAACGCATGCCTAACTTAGGGGTGTTGGAGGCGATCCTCCGGACTAACTCCGGTTAAACAGGGTCTAACTAGCAGTATGTTGAAGTATCCGTTAACGCTAAATCCTATCTGAACCAGAAAGGTGAGGGGTGATTTAGCCCCTCTCTCATATTCTTACGCAAACAAGAATTTTCAGCAGTGATGCTCTTGCATACAGTTGCCATGGCAAAAAGATTTTAAAAGAGTTCTCTTTAGACAACGTCAAATCATTGGCTACCTTGCCAAATGTAATCATTACAATTTTAATCGTAAGAAACATTTTGCCGTTGTTAAAAAACTCAAAAACTATCTTTAGAAATTGCCAACATGAGGAAAGTAAGCTTTTACTTATTAAATGATATTTGATTTGTTTTTATTCATCCTGTGCTTCTGAGTGGGATATAGGAAGGCATGAAACCTGTATCTAGACTTGCGCAAAAAATCTTGTTTCTTTAGTGACATCATTGTTTATGATAAGCTGTTTTGTTTAGCTTTCGCGAAACCCAGATTAAATTACGTTTCTGTGATATCTTAAGTGAATCTTAAAGAATTTTTTGCTAAATATAAAAAAAATTGATAAGATTTAAAATTTCATTATGACGTTATGATATTTTGATGGGTATAATCATATAGAAATCTTAACCCTCTATTGCTAACCAGTCTGGAGAAATGACGGGGGGGGGGGCTGAATTAGCCTGAGGATGCTCAAAAGAGCTTGGTCTAGATAGGGTTAACCGAAAATGCTGGCACTTACAAACGGGGTTTCACTCTATACTTCAAATTTAAAATGAACGTTTATTTCAGTTCGATTTGCACTGCGACACTGAAGTATACAGTTACTTGGCCACATCTTCAGTTTTTATCAGCTGGGCATTTGGAGCAGTCGTTCTTGGTTGGGCGTCAGATAGGTAAGTAATTGGAAAACTGAATCATTTTCGGTCCACAATGAATCTGATGACCTATTGATCGTAATAAAATGTATAGAAACATCAGCGGTTTCACGATGTCTGCTTTGTTTTTCTAACGACACTTTTTCTCGTGCTTGATAAGTGTAAAAAAAATTTAAAGAGAAGGAAATCCTGTGGCAATATAAGGTGTGCCTAATTATTCTCTTAAGAGTGTCCCCAAAAGAAGGAGTGGCCCAGCCATTCAGTCCTATTGTTTTATTCTGTGTTTCCAATACTGCGCCAGCCCTTTTCATTATCGCTGTCAATGTTGAACATTTTGCTTAAAACTTGGATCTTGTTTTTAGGTATGGTAGAAGAATCAATATGCTGATATCGACAACTTTTATCCTTTTGTTTGGGTTCATCAGCTCGTTCTCTCCAAGTATTTGGCTCTACATTTTTGCACGAGCAGTGTTTGGGTTCTTCATACCAGGAACTTTTATACAGTCAATCGTTCTAATTTCAGAATTTGTAGGCCCAAAATGGCGTCCATTTGCGGGTATAGCAATTTGGCTAATATCTGCAGTAAGCGTTGTCATCCTTGGTGTTATAGCCTTCTTCGTTCAGACGTGGAAAACACTGATGATAGTCATCACAGCTCCATATTTTTTCATCTTGCTGTTTTTCTTGTAAGTTTAATCCATGAAATTTTCTTATTCATTGTCAGGGATCCTTCTTTTTCTTGGCCGTGTGGATTAGCACAATATTAAGCTTAGGCCCTAAGCAAAGATAGCACGTGCATTGCCGATCTCTGTTAGAGTACTGAGTGTGATGTTTGAAGTTTCAACCGACCATTTTTTCTATTGGTTTTCTATTTTGATTTTAGGGTGTACGCAGTTCATATATATTAAACCTGGAATAGGACTGTGCCACTTTTCAGTTTTAGAACAAAAGCTTAGTTCAGTACGTAGATTAGAGAGAGAACAATTAAAATCAAATATGCCATATAGCAAAGGAATATATTTATATATATATATCTTCTTGATAATTCGGATAGTAAAACCAAAGACTAGGGAAGGAAGGAAAGGGTTCCATTTGCTACTAAGATACCATCCAGCACTCAAGGCACAACAATCGTGCAGTATATGATACCTGCATGAAACTTCACAACTTATTTACTTTAAAGTGTAGAATAAATTGCAAAACAGACTCAAGCCCAAAAATTCAGTTAAAAGCTATTTTTAGAACATTTGATTTGGTCCCAGTCCTCAAAATGACTTTAAGTCACTTGCGAGCGATTTAATTCAACTCAACTCAGCGGAAAGGTAGAAACTGAGGAGCCTAGTTGAAAACAGTAGAGTCTGCACGCAGGCTACATGAAACAACAAAGCCACACCAAGACTGTTTAATCGAGAAGCAATTGATTTAACTCTTTTAATTTTTAAATAATATCTTTTGATGTCGATACAAAGAAACTGGCTGCAGAAAGAAGGGAGAGTTGTGGAACAATATTTTTTGAAGGTTTCTTGAAAAACCTCTGTTGACTGCGATATTTTTTGCCTCAGCTGTTTTTGCATGGACAGTCAATATTGGATAGACTATCAGACTGTTAATTCTCATAGACTATCCTTATTTTCTTGCAAGGGCCATTCCCGAATCAGCTAGATGGCTTCACGTGAATGGAAGAAATGACGAGGCTCTTGCAATCTTTCGAAAGATCGCTAAGTGTAATGGAAAAGAGCTACCAGAAGTTCAACTAAAGAAGATTGAAGACAACTGTTCCAGCGGAATAAAACATTATCTTCACCTATTCAAGCCTGCAAAAATCGCAGTAAGGAGCTTACTCCAAGGATATACATGGTGTGTAAATACTTGTTTGTGATTCTAAAAGATAAAGTGGAGTCGTTGGTAGATACAATAGCTGTTGACAGATGGTGATTGATGATGGGGTTTGTCACTAATTACCAGAGAGAGACAGACACAGTTTAGCCAACTTTACAAAACGTGAAGGAAGATTTCAGTGCGTGTCAATTCTTTTGAAATGTGGAAAAGTTTGTTAGTTAGCCAATTAGCTAAGGGTTCTTGTGTGATTGTGTACGTGAAGAAGAAGTAACTCACCACTGCAGTTTTGCTGCAAATTTTAACTACACATAGTTTACTGTTTTTCAGGATGGTGTGTGGCTTGGTGTTCTTTGGAGTTTCATTTGGCGCCGGTGACTTGAGCGGCCACATACACAGGGACTACATCATTACCAGCTTATTCGACATACCGGCTGCTGTTCTTGCAATATACCTTTGCAACAAGTGAGTTTCTTCGTTCTATGTCTTGTTTTTTTTACGTGGGGGCGTAGTTTTGAAACCTTGAACTTATATCGCTCATCCTATCAAAATCCATCACTAAAGAGCAAAGTTGTATGACTTAATGAAAACAATATAAAAGTTTTTTGACCATACAATCTGAAAGTGAAAATATCTCTAAATGTGCAAATTCATTTACATTGCTGAGATACGTCCGTCGAAAGATCTGAATTTTGCCTTAAAGGAAAGTAATTGATCAAACTTGTACTATTAATTATAACATAAACAGCAGTGGGTCAATGACGATGATCCCTGGATAACTCACTAAACTTCAAATCTACAGGAACGTACTTTATCTTGTAGAATTGGAAGAAAGAAGACAGTAATTATTTCCATGTTTATTGCCGGAATATCCTGCATCGCTGTCTCCTTGATTCCAAAAAAGTCAGGGAGCAAACCATCGGGTAAGTTTTTCACAAAGATTTTCAAGCTGCAGCCATTCTCATACTTAGTTTGCCTCTATAAATATATAAAATGAAAGTGTGCAATTCCAGATAGGGTAAATGTTGTCAAGGTACTATTTTGCAAACATTGTCTGTCTTCGTTCAAATTTTAATGTGACGTCCTTGTTCAAATTCTAAGAAAATATTTAGGAAATACTAAATCCGTTCGCTTTCGAACCAGGATCAAAACTGCTCAAGGTAGCACAGCAAAGTTGTCTTGATTGCATTTTGCTAGTGTAAACGAAAAGGTGTGCAGAGAAAGTTTTTTACGTTGAAGCTTCCAAGGAACAATGCAAATGGGGATTAAGTCGCTTCTTTGAGCAAAACATTCTAACATAGCAAAGAAGCATCTTAGGTACTTTGTAGCAGTGTCCTCTTTATGTCTAATGGGTTTAAAATCATGCTCACACCTCGAGAAGTGCTTCATCTTCCATGACCTAAATTAGAAGAGTTCTGCACCATTCCGGACTTCTAATACGTCCGGCCTTATATTAGCTTCCATTACTGCACCATTAAAGACATCGTCAACATCACTATTTGAAAACATCACCCTACTTGTTAAAGTCAACACCTGTTCCGGGAAAGATAAACCATTTTCATGCAAAACTAAATGATTCTGATACGATTGATTCGTACATGGATTGACATAACTTTTTTCATCCAGAACTTGTTGGTCTTCGAGTTTTCTTTGGAGTGCTTGGAAGGTTTTGCATCACGTTGTCACATGATTCCATTTACATATGGTCGACCGAAATGTACCCGACTTGCGTAAGGTAAGATTAATTAAAAAAATCAATCCTGTTAGGCAAAAATTTCAGCAAAAATAGCGAAAACTCATTGAAAGTCACTGAGTTTTCCGATTACTTAACCAATTGGAAAAAGGTAAATAGAAGATTGGAGACGAATATCAATATATAAAAAATACCAGTTATCTTCTGAACAAGTCGAAGTGTATTAGTATAGGTGCCTTATTATTTTAATAAATTATTTTAGATTCGACTTGGACTTTGATCAAATACATATATATTAATATATAGAAATGTGTCTTTTGATACTTCCGTAGCACAGTGCTCAATACGTTAGCACGTAGAGCGTTATATATCATAGATTGAAGAAAGTAAAACTACATGGTTTATCTCTACAAGACATCTCCTGAAGAGTGAGTTACTCACGAAACAGGCTTGTAGAGATAAACCATCTAGTTTTACTTATATATTAAAAATATATATTTATATATTTATATATATATATATATTACATATATATTGATATATATATATACTACATATATATACATTTATATATATAAATATATTACATCTCCGGTTGGGCCTAAAAAAACTTTACTTGTGTCGTTAAATTAGCTATTATTATCTTTGCTTGTAAAGTGTGCTATTTTTGTTCTTTTGCTTTGGATTCCTTATTATACGCTCCAAATATAAATGAAGGTTATTGTGAAGGAGCATATCGCGAAACGTTAATCAAGTCGCGAAACGTTTTTTAGTGATCATCTATTTAAAGTTTTAAAAAACATTATAGTCTAGAGCTTTTGAATACATACACAATATATACAATTGGGCAGCACCCTTGTGGAAATAATTTCCCTCTGTCAACCTTGGCCTACTGAATAAATAAAGCAACAAATTCAAATACCTTCAATATATGAATTCCTTGACAGGAGTGCAGCCATGGGCTACTTGCAAATCTTTGCCCATATTGGTTCTTCACTAGCACCTTGGGTGGCAAAATGGCTCGTCGCCTTCCACGTGGTTCTGCCGTTTTCAATAATGGGCGGTTTAGCTGTCATAAGTGCGATTTTGTTGTTGAGGCTGCCTGAGACGGCTAATAAGGAAACACTGGAAACACTTGCTGATCAATTTGAAATGAAGGGTAGTCACGTAAAGGAGGTAGATCTAAAAGAAGAGAAGGAAAACGTTAATGAGATAAAAGACCTAACTG